ATACAAGATCAACATCACTGTCCTTTATTTGGACAATAGTCGGAACTAGACATTCTTCTATCCCCTAAGATAAGTATAGCACTTACCCAGTCCAGCTAAAAATAACTCTGTTTTCTAATAATGGTAGCAGTAATGATGATAGCCATAAAAGTTTCTTATTGCCACTATAACAAGTTTCCACCCACAGTTACTTAAAACAACTCAAATGTATTACCTTATTATTCTGAAAACCTGAAATCCACAGCTGTTACTAAAAAGCATTATAAAAGACCTAACAAAATGCTGGTTGTATATCACTCGTTTAAGAAACTTTTCATATCACTTTTACAATCCTCAAAATATATTTGACTACTTAAAATAATGCTTTACTCTGATATGAGCAGGACTACTGTTTCTCAACAGAAGAAATCTATTCTAGAAAATTAGAGTGTACTTCATGTGATTCCCTTTATTCCTTCTGTGTTTTTATTTGAAAAATCTATCATGAGTATATTCATATTTATTTATACATGGGAAGCCTTATTCTCCCTCACAGACTCATATACACACATACATTCAAACGAAGTGTATATTTGGTATTTCCTTAACACCAGCACAGTTGCCTTAACACTGAATAATTCAATAAAACATCTAGAGTAATTCATGTGTATGAAACATTCACAAACTATATTGACTTAAGTCATTGTATAGATATTTACTAACCATTTCTTTTTAAAAAAAAGTTAAATAATTATAAAGAATTCCTTAAAAAGCATAATAGATAGTCTTTTGTGGCTCATGGAATAGAATTTTTTATGCAAAAAAGCAGTAAGCCTATGTTATAAAATGTATGGACGTTTTGATAATTGATAAATAAGAGTTGAAATTATTATTCACTTAGAAACAAAGTACTAATTTGCTCTTGTCTAATGTTTGTATAGGCCGTGGGACACTGTGATTAACAACCTTATGAGTGTATTTCATTGGTTTTTATGAATATGCAAATTTTTGCTTCTAATAAAATTACAGTGAATATTTATCCAACTATCAGCCACTATGTTGTGTCAATCAAGAGATTCTGTACATTTTTTGAACTCAAAAGAAATTTTGTTTATCATTTGCTTCAAAATTTTTAAAGGGCTCAGCAGGCAATTTGCATATGTCATCAGTTTAACTGAGTGAGGATTAGCAAATTAAATCTTAATTAGCTAATTTTTGCATAATTTTAGGGAAATTACATGCTTTGTGCAGATGACAGGTGGGAGGTAAGGCATTTAACTTGTATTCAATTGAAGTTTTCCTTGACTTTATGAATTTTAATAGAAAAATACCATTTAACAGTTAAAAATGTGAGTCAAACTGAATAGATTCTATCTGTACAGACTAAAATACAACATTATTTTATGAAATAGAACCAGTGATAAACATTAAAGTATTATGGATAATACATCTCTAAGGATTATTTTTAAATTAAAACAGAGGTTTTTCACTTGTTATTTTAATTATAATTAATTTTTAACAGATTCAGTATGATTTATATGTGTCTAAGAATATGATATTCCCTGCCTCCCTCCCTCCTACCCTCTTTCCTTCTACTTTTCTTTTTTTGTTTTTTTTTTTAAAGGAACATAGTTTAACTTTACATTGCAGTAAAAAAGGTTTAAACTTCACCAAATAAGAAGTTTAACAAGTAAAAACAAAACACCCTATTTTAGAAGAAATATATACAACAGTTATAAAGAATAACTGAATGGAAAAATGACCATTTCACCCATGTATAGTTTTTTTTTTTTTTTGTCAATTAGTCATCCATAATTTTCAATGAAATAGAACCAATGACAATATAACATATAAATAGTTCCTGTGTGGTTATAAGATAATAATTAGGTTCAGGTTTCCTGATACATAGTATATGTTTTGGGTTGTAACATCCTGCTAAATTAATGGCAATGGGATGTTAATTCAGTTTGCATATATATACTTACAGTAAAGTCACGGTTGATATTAAGTCAGCATCTGGGAGGCCTGCTAGTGCTGAGCCATGGTAATGACAATGGTACTAATATTCACAAGGGGTGAGGGGTGTTTGTGTAGCCTGCAGCCACCTGCAGATGGATTGGTTACCCTATGGGCCATTTTTCACCTTTGTGCTGCTTATTTTTTTCTGATCTGCTTTTCTGCCACTGCTCTTCACACTGCATTTTTGTATGAAATCATCCCTGAAAATGCCACTCAAGGATCTGTGTTGATGACATCTTTACTTTTCCTGTTCTATAATGCCAGTAATTAACTCTGCTTCTCTTCATTCCCATAATTCCAAGTACACTTTCCCCCTAAATAATGAACTAAACTGGGGCCCCATGTTGTTTTGCCTCCTACTAAGCTGGCTTCCAATATCAGACAGTTAGAGTCCTGGCTACTCTGTTCTTCCAATTCAACTTCCTGCTAATATGCCTGGGAAGGCACAAGGTGATGGCCTAAGTACTTGAATTCCTGACACCCATTGACAAAAGAAGTCATTAAGGGCACAAAAATTAGAATCATATTACTTATTTATCAATTAGAATAATTAGCATAATTAAAATGTCTATATTACCTAAACCAATGTACCCATTCAGTATAGTACCTTTCAAAATGCCAAAGGTTTTCTTTACAGACTTAGGAAAAAAAAGATCCAGAATACCCAAAGAGATCCTGAAGAAAATAATTCAAGCTGGAGACATCACTTTACCTAACTTCAAAGCATTCTACAAAGCTATAGTAATTAAAACAGCATAGTACTCGTAAACCCTGAACATAGACCAATGAAACAAGATAGAGACCCCAGAAATTAATCCAAATGCATACAGCCAAAAGATGTTTGACAAAGCAAGCAAAAGCATGCATTGGAGAAAGGATACTCTTTTAATTAAATGGCACTGGCAAAACTGAATGTACATGTACAGTAATATGATATTAGATACCTACCTCTATGCATATATGATAATCTACTCAAGATAGATTTAAGACATAAAAGTAAGACCTGAAAGTTTGAAATTGCTAGAAGGACACATAAGGGAAACACTTCAAGACACAGGTGTAGATATTGACTTCTTGGTTGTATGAAAAAAATGCTTAATATCACTAGTCATCAGGAAAGTGCAAATCAAGACCACAATGAGATATCACCGTACTCCTGTCAGAATGGCTATTATCAGAAAGACAGAGAATGACAAATTTTGGCAAAAATCTGGAGAAAGGAGAATTCATATGCTGTTGGTAGGAATGTTGCTTGTGGGGCTGTAAATTAGTGAGGCCACTGTGAAGTGTAGAAATGGACATTTCATTAAAAACTAGAAATAGAATTGCCATATGATTCAGCAATCCAACTACTGGGTACACACTCAAAAGATCTGAACTATTTGTATCATAGAGATACCTGCTCTACCAAGATTATCACATCATTGGTCACAATAGACAAAATAAGGAGTCAACTAAGATGTCCACTATCAGATGAATGGATAATGAAAATGTGGCATATCTCCACAATGGAACATTATTCAGTGTCAGTTGATGTGATTTGTATGCATATAGTTTTAGACGTCAATTTTTTTTAAATTTCAGGTTTAAGTATTTACAATTTTTCCTAATAGCATCTAATTCTCAACTTCATGATATTGGTTACTAACTAAAAAATATTCTTCATAGTTCTTTTGCTTTTGTTTTTAATTTTATTCCAAAATATATTCTGTGAAGTACATCAAATATTCCATTTCTACAACTTATATTCATATTACATATATTATTCAGGTATTTTATTTATGCTTGCTAGGCTGTTTTGCTGCCGTTGCATTTGGTAGGTTTACAGTTATTTCCATGTGCTTTCCTATAATTGCACGTAAACAGTTCTTTTTTCCCCTTGATGAAAGCAAACAAACTTTATTACTTTTGGTATGAATATGAATTTAAATTATATGAGGAAATAGCCCCAATATGTTGGTTTTAAAAATGTATATCGACATTTGGCACTTACATATTCTGTGTAAATGTAAGCTTTTAGCAGAATTCCCATTGAAGAAATTATAGTTTTGACTATAATTTATGAGAACTGTGTAAATATCTACAAATTTGTAGCCAGTTTCCTAAATAACTCATGAATTACTAAGTATACTTTTCAGCTACAGGATATGTAGATGTATTCTTACAGAGAAAAAAAATGCTAAATACTCCAAAGGCCAAATGGTTAAAATAAATAATGGCAATAATTGTTTTATCAACATGAGAGGATCCTGTTTTTCTTTATCTTCCTAAGTTAGTTTAATGGAACTATCTTAGTCTGATAAAAACTAAAAAACACAATGAAATAGCCATGGATGCAAAACTAGTGTTAGATGTGGGTAGAGTATGTGATCACCTTCATGAAAAACGGCTCAGCACAATAACTTCAGTATGAAATCAAGCAGATCTGGATTTCACACCTGTCTCTGCCCTGACCTTAAAATTGTGGTGAAGTTGTTTAAAATCACTAAGCCTCAATTTCCTCTTTTGTAAAAACAGTATAATAATACCCTCTCAAGCCTATTTTAATAATTTGTATGAAATAGTATGTTAAAATCCTGATTCAGTTTCTGATATATAATGCTTTGCTTTTATGTTGATAATGATACTTATGCTGATGATCTGATTGGGCTTCAGTAAGAAAATCTGATGAGTAAGCATCACTTCTCCCTTAGTGCCATAAAACTGAAATTCCATCACATAGGTATGTCTTAATTTAGAATTCACATTGACACAAAATTAGTTGTGACAATTCTAATTTACCTGGAAGAAGAAATTCTAAACTTTAAAATCATAGCATAAGCATTTTACGTTCCCATTAAATGCATATGTTATGGAAGAATGCCGTCTTTAAAATCACAAGACCTACGCTGAGACTTGGGCTCCACCGAATAATTCAGTGGCAATTATGATTACCCAAATCACTTATCCTCTCTGAATATCACAGTAGAAAACTCTTAGGTACGAATGATAAGAAAACATACCTCATAGTATTTTTTTGGTTGGTTGGTTGGTTGTTTTGTCGTCATTCACTGGTAGCAAGCCCCTCACAGGAAATCCATGAACCTTTCCTCATTGAGTGTCCTCTCTGTTAGAGATGGCCGTTGAAAGGAATAGTTTTGCATAACATGATAATTAAAATGACAGAAAACATGTTACAAGACACTGAAGAGATCGCGGAATGAAGAAATGATTTTAGTTCTAACTCAATTCTAGATTTTTTAGATGTCTGATCAAGAACTTGAAAAATGGGAATAACAAATGAAAAGGTATATCACATCATACACAATATTAAGTATAATAATTATTCTAAGGTTCATAAATTGAATGGGAATCCCCCTTCAAATCAATTTATTCATATTCATATATACATGTATATTCTACAAAACTAGAATAATTCTAAAAAATTCATAATGTGAATGAGAAAAGCTACACATGAATGAACATTTAAATATAAAGACTAAACCTTAGTAATATTAGAAAGGAGGAAAAGCCAGTTGTAACATAATAGGAAGAAACATCTGTTTCTGAAAATCAAGAATTTATGAAATAAAAGGCTAATTAATGATAAAGTAAGGACACTATAGCTAAAATCTAATAAAAATTGAGAAAGATTATTCAGAGCATAGATTAAGTAATAATTTCCCTTTTATATGAAAAATTATATAAATTGATAAAACAATGGGAATATTTAAAAGATGTGAACAGAAAAAATATATATGTCATGGCATCATATGAAATGCTGCTCAACTCCATTAACTGATAAATCACAGTTAAAATCACACTGAGATGACATTTAGCTATCAATTTATTAAATCCACAGCTGTACAAGATGACCTATTGATGAAATTGTGGGAAAAGTAACAGTTTGAAATATGGCCGGTTGGAGTGCCAAATAGTACAGCACTCTGGAGAACAATCGAAAATATTTATTAAAAATTCAAATATGTTCACCCTTTAACATGTAATCCCAATGCTGTGAATTTATCTTGGTGATACACTTACACAAGCATGAAATAACATATGTTCAAGTTATTAATTGCAGCATTTTTTACCAATGACTAAATAAATAATACTATAATTATGAAATATTTCCACAAAAAAGAACCAGAAAGCTCTTCTTAAAATGATCTCAAAAGTATTTATGTGATTCATTGTTAAACCAAGAGTGAGGGGATGAGAAAGAGGGGCATAGGAAGAGTGAGAAGGTATGAGAAAAGGGGAACATATACTATGGGTGTTTTGTGCTTCTTTAACAAAGCACCGCAGACCATGCAGTTTATGATGAACTCAGTAGTTCATTGTTTCATAGTTCTGGAGGCTGGGCAGTCCAAGATCTAGGTGCAGACTTCTGGTGAGGATCAGATGGAAGGTAGAAGATCCAAGAGGGATGGGGCACTGACCTTGCCTTTTGGTTATGGTCTTAAGTTGCTACAATGGCTATTAAAATCAGCCTTTCATTCGGAGGTGGCAGCCTTGTAAACCATAGTGGGTATGATATCTTTTAAATAAGAAAGGGTTAGAAGCAGGGACAAATACTATTATTTCCTTACACCTAAATATTTTTTTAATTAAATACACAAGAAACTGGTAAATGGTGGTCTATTGAGATGATTGTTTAGCAAAATAGTTAAGAAAGCAGTTAGGATGCCTACAGTTGTCAGTGTATCTGAGTTCAGTCCTGGTTCCATTCCTGAATCAAGCTGCCTCTCTAATATGCACCTAGGAGGCAGCAGGTGATGACTCAAGTACATGGATCCCTACTACCATATGGGAGACCTGAATAGAGTTCCTGTCTTCAAATGGTACAGCCCCATCTGCTGCAGTTATTTCGGGAGTGATCAAGCAGATAGGAGTTCTATCTTGCTATCTACTCATTATATAGCAACAACATTAATAAAGGCTACCTATAGAAGAATATAGAATGGTTTCAACAGAAATGGGTGAGATTATGTTGTCTTAATGTATCCATCAACTCTTTATAACATTTCAAATCTCTAAAAAGTTGCAGTGATATTGAAATTAACACCTATGTACCCATTGGTTAGATTCAGCAGCTGTTATTACAGCAACTCATTTGTTTTTCCTCTTGCTAATCGAAGAGATGGAAGAGCTTGTCACAGACCTTACAGAAGTTTTTCCCGAGGGACCCTTGCTATCCACTCATTATTTCTCATGTCATCTCTTCAGCAAATATTTGTCAAATCCTACCACTGATGAGAAACTGTTTTATTCATTAGGCCCACTAGTGGACACACTAGTGATCAAAATCTGGATGTTATGACTTTTCTTTATGCACATCTCAAGGTGATGAGGCCCATAGTCGGAGAAGCTTCATTTTTCATATGTATTTCAGTGCTTGAATTCTTCCCCTGAGCCAAATATCCCAAGTGGAAAAATCATGTGGAAGGGAAAATTGCCTATTTATGTTTTTCTTATTAAACCCATTCTTAAAATGTACTTTAGATGTTTCCAACAAATGCTTCTATCAAGAAATTCAATAACATTCTTGAAAACATAATGCCAACAGAGCCATTTTCTTCAGGTAGAGAGGAGATGATTCCTTCAGAGAGAATTGCTGTGTGGACAAATTCAACTGTTGTTTCCTGCCCTTCCAACCTCTATAAGCCATACAATCATTTAGATATATGCAGATGAGGACTCTCCAAATAGAGATGTTTATGGGAGGCATCACTCAAGGTGGGACTCAAATGGTAAATTTAATAGGGATTTCTGGTTAACTTGCAAGGAGATATGCTCAGGGAGTAAAGCCCTGTTTATTGAACTTGCCTGAGGATAAAAATATCTTACTGGGAGTTGGTTAATATATCAATTCTTAGGTGTCAGCAACTTTTTTTTTTTAATTGGATCAGGGGTAGTCAGACATTGTAGTGAGGTTTTCAAGGTCACTGCAAAGGAAATAATTGGTGGTAAGAAACTGAATGATCACAAGGATATAGGAAAGTGTATGTAGGGCTTCGGAATAAGGATCCTAGAGGAAACTAGGAAATGTGCTATTAGGATGGAAGCACAAAGCTTGGCCAAGTTCAGAGGAGCCAGCACCCAGCCTCTTTATACTACCTGTCAAACATCTCAAGATTAAGTGGCCTAGACCACCATGCACTATGGTTTAATAGTCAGAAACTACAGTACTTATTAGCTCATGATATATCTTCCTGCAGTTCTCCTTGGATTTTTCTGTGACTTTGCTTTGTTTTTCTCTGGTACTTTCATAGAAAGGTAGATATCAAGCATATCTGAATTGTTACATCAGAAGGATTCAGCTGTCAGAAGGAGAAGGAAATGAGTCTTGAGTACAGGATCAGATCTTGTGTCAGTGGGAGGTGGAAGAGGCCAAAGTCCTGGCATTCTAACCTGATGCTGGGAATTACTACAGATTAGAAAGAAACTTCTCTTACAAACCACCTTTTCATTAGTTGTAGTAACAGGAGAATCCTTAGTTCTTTTGAAATTCTAAGAAGAGTAGTCCTAACCTCTCACTTGGTCATCATTGTTTGTCTGGCATTATTTGTAGCTAAACAGGCAGCACTTTTTTCAGTTTAAGATTGTCAGTTTTACAAAGTTCTTCTACCTAACATCAGTGTTTGCTATTTTTGGACATATTGAGATAAATGCCATGTAATTGTAGCATACAATTAGAAATTTTCTGGAACTATGCTACTGGTATTGTATGGAAAGCATGTTTGTAAATAAATAAGTGGGTATTATGAGTTTAGGGATTATGACTCAAGTATTAATGAATGAGCTTATTTCATGAATTAATTTTAATCATTTATTTCCAAGTCAGTTCTCTGTATAAAAGTTGCTTTCCCCCACTGGTGTATAAACTAAAATCATTGGTCTATATTTGTGTATTTAAAATATATTCATCATCATCTGTGTAGCTAAGAGTTCCATTTGTCTCTATTATACACTGTGGCACACTGGAATAATTATTTGTGCATTATCTCCAACTCTCATGAGATCCAAAACTTGCCAAGGAGAGAGGTCTGTTTTCTTTCCTTCATGATCCTGGTACCTAATTTAGAACATGTTCTATAGTAGTTGCTCAAATATCCAGAAAAATGAAAATATTTGCTTTAACCTTGATATACCTGAGACATAAATAATTCAAATTTTATAAGCAACTTACATATTTGTAAACAATGATAAATAGCTTCTAAATATTATAAACTATGCTGTCTTACTGCATTTGTTTTTTCTACAGCTGGTTATATATACCATAGTGCATGCACTCTGCCTCATGATCCAGTGAGTTCAAATGCAGTGATGCTTCCATTTTATACCTAAATTTCTTTTTTTTAAATTTTATTTAATGAATATAAATTTCCAAAGTACAGCTTATGGATTACAATGGCTTCCCCCCCATAACGTCCCTCCCACCCGCAACCCTCCCTTTTCCCACTCCCTCTCCCCTTCCATTCACATCAAGATTCATTTTTGTTTTTCTTTATATATAGAAGATCAGTTTAGCATACATTAAGTAAAGATTTCAACAGTTTGCTCCCACACAGAAACATAAAGTGAAAAATACTGTTTGAGTACTAGTTATAGCATTAAATCTCAATGTACAGCACACTAAGGACAAAGATCCTACATGAGGAGTAAGTGCACAGTGACTCCTGTTGTTGACTTAACAAATTGACACTCTTGTTTATGGCATCAGTAATCACCCTAGGCTCTTGTCATGAGCTGCCAAGGCTATGGAAGCCCCCTGAGTTCACCGACTCTGATCATATTTAGACAAGGCCATGGTCAAAGTGGAAGTTCTCTCCTCCCTTCAGAGAAAGGTACCTCCTTCTTTGATGACCCGTTCTTTCCACTGGGATCTCACTCGTGGAGATCTTTCATTTAGGTTTATACCTAAATTTCTAATGTGTTATCATTGATTTCTCACATAGGACTTCAGACTCCTATAAAGTTTCCCATTGCATTTATTTCTGGAATACTTTCATGGCTTTCTCACAAGATCCAGTTAGGTGTTACTTTTTTTTTTTTTTTCTAGTTGTCTTCTGGGCATTTTCCACTTTCACACCTTCCCTTCTTTCTTCTGGAGGGTGGTTCCTG